AAGAAAATTATTAGTAATTGCATTAAAAAATTTCAAAAATAGCTTTTACAAAGTAAGTTTAGTAACAGGTGAATTTTACTTAGTAAAATAATTCTGCAGTCTCAGTTTTACTAAGAAAATTTAGTAATAACTGTCATCACGTCTTTATTTAACTAAGAAAATTTAGTAATAACCACTATTGCAGCTTTGGTTTACTAAGAAAACTTAGTAATAACTGCCATCGCAGCTTCAGTTTACTAAGAAAACTTAGTAATAACCGCTATCGCAACTTCAGTTTACTAAGAAAACTTAGTAATAACTGACATTGTGGCTTCAGTTTACTAAGAAACTTAGTAATAACCGCTATTGCGGCTTCAGTTTTACTAAGAAAACTTAGTAATAACCGCAATCTTGGCTTTGTAACTATTTTATTATTAAAAAAATGTTTCCGAAGCTGCGGAGGCATTTTTTTACTAGATTTCTTAGTAAAAAAACATTTCTGAAGTAACGAAGGCGTTTTTTACTAGGGTTCTTAGTAAAATAGCATCTCCGAAGCTGTGGATGCATTTTTTACTATATTTTCTTAGTAAAATAACGTCCCTAAAGCCGCGAAGGCACTTTTTACTATATTTTTCATAGTAAAAAAGGTATTTCTGAAGCTGCAGAAGCGCTTTTTACTATGCATTTTTTAGTAAGAATCACTCCTGAAGCTTTGGAGATAGCTTTACTATTGATTCGAATCAAATCAAATATTTGAATATTTGATTTAAATTTGATCGAATCAAATCAAACATTGATTTGGATTTGATCAAATAAATCATTCTTTGACTTGAATTTGATCAAATCAAATCAAATATAAATTTGAATTTGTATTTGATTTTATTTTCAAATCAAATATTCAAATATCAAATTGAATTGTGAAACACTACTAATCAGAAATTCTAATTAAATAATATTCATTAATTGGGTATTAAACTGATTAATAACTAATTATTAATTGAGCCTGATTGGTTACTATTGAATATATAGTTTACAATTTTTTAACATAAGTATAAAATTAAATTAGAACTTAATTTATGTAATTCTACCTAATTATTATGAATCTGATATTAACTGATTCATATTTGATTGTAGTATCTACTGATTTCTATCTATTAATTACTTATCAAACAATAGTGACTAATCAGAAAATTACCTGATTTATTAGCATTCAATCTGTATAAAGCCGCAATAGCAGTTATTATTAAGTTTTCTTAATAAAACTGTGATTACAGTGTTATTTTATTAAGTTTAATAATAAAAATTCACTTATTACTAAACTTACTTTGTAAAAGCTATCTTTAAATTTTTTTAGTGCAATTACTAATAATTTTTTTAATTAAAATTTTTAGAATAACTTTATTTTAATATATCTATATTATTGTAAAAATTAAAAAATTTTTATATTCGATTTGATTTGATCAAATATTTAATTTGATTTGATTTGATTTGACAAATATTTGAGTTCAATTCAACTCGATTTAATTTGGTTTGAAAAAATCAAATCAAATTCAAATTGCTTAAATATTTGATTTGATTCAATTTTAAGGAACCCTAATAGTAATAATAGATCAAGAGATTATAGATCAAGAAGCCATAGTAATAGATTAGATAGCCAATCTGCTGATACTTTTTTACTTCAGCTGACTTATGTTGAAGTAGCCTTTGTACCTTCCAATATAACAAGCCATCTCTAACAACTTGATGCTAGAATAATTGCAAGTTTTAAGAATTATTATAAGAGGAATTACTATCATCATATATTGGAATTTTTTGAAGAAAGTAAAGATATCAACAAAGAGAAGATTAATTTTAAAGAAACTATCAACTATGTTTTAGATGTGTGAAATCATGTAATTGAAGAGACAATCTAAAATTATTAAAAAAAGTCTGGAATCTTACTTTCTTTAACTAATGAAGATATAGATGATGTATCACAAAACAATTGATGATAAAGCAGAAGATCTTGATTAAATGATTAAAGAATTTAATGTATATAATCATTATACTATTTTACTGGTAAATATGTTGAATTATTTCTTTAATGACTTAGAAAAAGAAATTCTAACCAATGCTATTCTAAGTAATGATGATATGAGACCTTTGCAATAGAAAGGGAAAAACTGCCGGGAAAAATTAATTTTTACTTTTATATACTAAATATGATTTTTAGGCTGAAATATGTTCAAATTTAGCATTAATTCATTTTTGATTTTTCTGGCAGTTTTATTGCAAAGCCCATATCATATATTTAATTCAAGAAGAAATACATGGAGATGATAAAAATAAAATGATGACAAGACTCTGAAGAGGAAATACTAATGCTAGTTTCTTTAGATAATACAATGAAATCCTTACAGAATTGGATTAACTTTTTTGAGCAACAACAAATGTGAATTTGAGTAGAAAATATAGATATTTTAAAAAATACTTAAATCTAGTTAAGCAACTTGAGAAAGAAGGTTTCAATTACTAGTTTTTTTAATATTTTTGAAAATAATAGCATCTAATAATATTAGTATAATAATATTAATATAATAATAACATTTAATAACACTTGTAATATTTTTTTGCTTTTAATAAATTGACAATTCGGATAATTCTTTATAAATTGACAATTTGGGATAAAAATTCTATAGAATTACTTTACATGATTTTTAATATAATGTTTCTCTATACAATAACCAATTTTGGCAGACCCGAAGAGGTGATTGTATGGAGGTCTAACTGACTTTTATTTTAATTAAATAAAGAATTTTTTTTATTTTTTACAAGTAAAACATTAGATTTTCTTTTTGGTAAATTATATGCCGATCAATTTCGTACCAATGATATTAAATAAGAATTTATCAAAAAATCATTTAGTGTACGAAAATTATCGATATAAATAAATCAAAATTTTTTAATTTTTAAATTTTTTACCTTAAATAATGACAACAATCGAAGAAATAAGGAAGGAACTGGAAAAGGCTGAGGAGAGATTTAGAAAGGCTGAAGAAAAATTGGAGAAGTTTGAGGAAGGGGAGAAAAAGAAAAGGTTAAACGACTTGGATGACAAGATTTTGAAAGGAAATGAGGGGACTTTCGAACTGAAGAAAGGTTGGGAAGTATTGAGAGACAAACTGGAGAAAGAAAAAAAAGAGTTGAAGAAAATAAGAAATGGCTGGGAGGAGCAGGTGAAATATTTGCAAATTAAATTGGTAGATTTTGACAAGGAAAAAGGTAATAAACAAAATTGCCTATACAATTAGACTTCATCTCAAATTTTTTTTTTGTTTGATCAGCTACTAGTTCAACGTTGAAAAAAAGAAAATGGATGGTTAATAGTGCCATGCGTCCATCTGACTGGGATTCTCATTACTTTATGGACCTAGAAAATCTGAATGGCCCTCTGTATGATAATATTCGAGGCGGTCATTTTACAGTTCTATTCGGGACACGAGCTTCTGGCAAAACTACGCGTGCTTTATATGCAATTAATCAGCTGGAACAAGAAGGATTCGTTTGTAACTAGTAAGATTATTTCTTACTCAAGCATGTTAAGTGACTACTCCGTTTGCATCTAACTGCTGTTTCCTTTTTTTTTCTTTCTGTGAAAGCCTTAGTTTTGAGCAAATCAATGCAAACAACTTTTGGGTGTCATTCGGTCGAACTCTTAGTAGAAATGGCGATGATCACTTCGACTCCTGTAGTTTTATCGATTCTTCTGAAAGCTTCCTCGATTGTTTTAGTAAAAAAACTCATGGTGACAAACTTCGTATCGTTATCTTCATTGACGAGTTCGATGGACTGTTCGAAGCGGATGCACAAATTCGCTCTGAGGTTCTGAAAGTCTTTCGTGGTATTAGGAACAACATTGCCTTTACAATCCACTCTATTGTTGCTATCGGTACCTTTAGCATCTTACATATTGACTCCGATATTGATTCCGAAAGTACGTACTCTTTATCATCGTTTAATATAAGCGAAGCCATTCAAAACAAATATTTCATTCTGGAGCAAGTTGAAAGTCTGTTTAATCAGTTTGCAGAAGATTTAAAGATATCCATAGACAAGGAAATAATTGAGGACATCTACACATTGACAGATGGGTATGTAGTATATAAACAAACAATTAAAATCATATATTGAGATTTTTATTCTTATTCATTGTTTTCAACAGGCATGCTGGGCTTGTTTGTCTCTGTGGACGCGTAATCGAAAACAACCTGGTCAAAAGTCTAGAAGGGTCGAACCTGAAATATAATATATGGAAACACTTCAGCGTCACATCATTGGTCTGGGAGGCTATCACTTATTCAACATTTCGAAAAATGGTCAATACCCTTCTAAAAAAAAATTCTAAGAGAGCCGTGGATTACTTTCGTTCCTATTTTATGACAAATATTAACCCTAGATACATCTACGTTGTTGAAAATGTCAAATTGGCTGAATTCCTTGCAGCTGAAGGAGTCTTATTACCTTGTGATGAACATAATAAGTTTAGGATTGCTTCTCCTCTTATACGCTGGATGATTCTTCAACGCGTTATACCCAAGTGGTATCCATCTTGCCCATCAGAAGATATTCCTTTCAATTTGGAGGATCCGGAGGCTTTGGACATGTTAAACGTCTTGAAGCTTGCAATTTGTACGTTCGATAAAGAAATTATTCGTTTTGCGGTCAAAAATTCATATAAGATAGCCAAAGTTCAAGTGAATGCAACGAATAACAAGAAAGTCCCTAGAGAGTGTGTGTACGACGCAGAGCTGTATCGAATTCTGTGGAATTGGTTGAGTATTCAAGACTTTCAAATAACTGGGCAGTGGCATTTGACACGTTCCAGCGATGGACGCACTATTCATAAATTTAGCGATTTAGTCATTAAGAGGGCTGATCAACCACCAGTCGTTATCGAGCTTCTAGCCACGGCGACACCAAAGGAGCTTAATGAACATTTCGATCGGGCGCTTTCTTACGCAGAATTCCTCACTGCAAGAGATGTCTGGGTCGTTCATTTCTCGTGTGGGGATAATAATTATATCTGGCCGTCTGATGAAGAGCTGAAAAAAGGCCTTAAAGTAATGCATTGTAAGCACGACCTTAATTTCACAATAGTTGAAACGAGATCATGTTGGTGGGATAATGGCGTGAAGGTAACCGAAAAAGAAATTTTTAACGTCTCGGCATGATTACTCACAACAATTTAGCAAATGATGTTCATAAAAAAATTGTGAACCATATTTGTTCAACCTAGGAGGCTTTTGACAAATTAGTGATTGTCAATATTGGATTTATTTACGTGTTTAATTTGGGAAATCTGAGGGTGCATATTTTTTAAGTATCAGGAAATGAAAAGCTAAATAAGTTATAATCAAAATAACACGAATTTATTTGAAAACTATTTCGCCTACTTTAAGCTTTTGCTTTTTTAAAAATGTATGTGAAAATTAATAAAGTCTCGACTAATAGAGGGTAGAGAATTTAACTTGCATTGGCAAACTTGCGAATTACGTGATTTCTATCTGCTGTTTTATTTGATATATTCGCTGCTGATAAACGTATTGTGCTACATTACGTACATCACGACTCAACAGTGAATGAATTCGTTCAATAAATTAAAAATTACGAGCCAAATTTTTTTACGAAAATAAGATGATTAAAGATATAATTTTGATATTTCGATATTCTTAAAAAGCGAAAGAATAGTTGATCCTTCCTTAGACATGTGAGGATTATCGATACGGAACGGTAAGATTTTACTTTTCGCGAAAATTGTAACATCGTTCTGTGTTATACAGATATTTTAATGTAAATAACTTTTTTTTAATAACACCTTCTTCTTTTTTTTAGAAAATTGAATAAATAATCTTTTTAAACAAAATTGCTTGAACTTGCTCCCTGATTAAATAAATTCTTATATTTTGCAAAGGAAAATTCATTAAAAAAAATTTTCATAGTTACAATCCAGTTACAAAAGGACTTAAAAGCAATCCTCAATGTTTCAATAAAAAAAATAATTCGACATAATATAAATCTATACTTTTTCTATTTTTTTGATTTAGTTATTCCTCGATAATAAACAACATAATTTTTGTAACATAATTGGTAAGATTAAGATTAAATGTAAGTAGCTAAGCGGCAGGACTTTCCACCACTTTAGCTGGTAAATTCAGTTAAACTCATTGCCCTTAGACGAAGTCCAAACTAAAATAAGATCAGAGAAAACTATTTTAAGATCAGTATAATATAGACAACACGAAACCTTCTTACAAAATTTTAGGTATTGTTGTTATGTACTTTCGCGTGACCTTACTAAGCCCCCTTTTTTATTCTTTTAAAGTAACACATCTAATATATTTGCTGATCGCTTTTATTGATTACATAATACATTTGTTATCCAATAAAAATGATTATTAACCATGCTGTGCAAATGTGCGTGATCATATGCAAACATAAAATCACGTGTACTTACTTTTTATCGAATTTTATATCGATATCAAAAGTCTACCAATCAAATATCTATATCAGGTATGATTTGTATGATGATATAAATAAGACCAAAAGTTGGTAAAGAGGGCCGACCTATCAATCAATAATAGTACGAGACTTTCATGTAGTTGAACAAGTTTTTATCTTCATGTGTGTTATAAGAATTTTCTTTTTCGAAAGTTCGACACATGATAAGATGATCAACATGCATGATAAAAAAAATGTCAATGAAAGGTAATTGTATAAAGAATTTATGAAGTTTCTCTCGTACAGTCTTCATTACAAAAAATATTTCAGCGTTATTTTTTTTTAGACTTCGAAACTTCTACTGCGCATAAAACGTTACACGAAAACTTTATCAATTAAAATGTGCATTGCATAAAGTTTGGTAATACCACTAGACTAGAATATAAATAGAGAACAAAATTCAAATTATCGTTTTCCTCAATAAATTTTGTTTATAAAAAAAAAAAAAAAAAAAAAAAAAAAAAATAATAATAATATATATATTCCTTGATACGACAAATTATACGAATTATAAAATTTTAAAATTTGAACATGACTGAAACTAAGAACAATAACTGGTACGTTTCTTTCAACCCGGTATTTTATTAATTTTTTTAAAAATAATAATTAGAGTTAAATTTATAGGCCGCCATGCTATCCAGTAATATATCATAATATCCAAGCAGATATTCTTGACGGCGATTCCAGACGTATGACAGAGCAGTCATATAAATTATGGTTATGTAATATATCATTTAATGATTGCTGACTGTTTGACGTTAAATTATGGCTCAGTTTTTAACTAATTTTTTTTTAAAAAAAATTCATTTCTAGTTTATGTTATTACATTGTTCTTTAATCTCTTAGCTGTCGTAGTTACTTCAGCTACAAGAAATGATGGAGTTAGCATTATTGGACAAATCCTAATAGCTATTTTGTATTTGCTCGCATGGCCATTATTCGATTTCTTTTTTAGACATCGATGCCTATATCAAGCTTTCAAGTAACTATCAAATTAACCATTTCTCCTTTTCTTTTTCTTGTCGTTCAAAACTAACATTATATTAAATTTTTCTTTTGTGTAGATTTAATAGTCTAAATTATTTTAGATGGTTCTTTCTTAATACATTCCTTGACATTGTATTTGGATTGTTTATAGGTATTGGATGGTTTTACGGAGGCGGAGGTGGTTTAATTGCAATGACTGATAATTTTAAAAATGATCGTATTGTTGCCGGAGTATTTTGTGCCATTTGTGTTGCTTTGATTTTGACTCAAGTTACCTTGCATATTATCTTGTTCCGTAAGGTAATTAATCTTCCTTTTTTATCATTTATATATATATATATATTTTGATTTACTCACCTTTATAATTGTTAGGTCTATGTGCATTTTAAAACTCATGATGATTGGACTTTGTTGCCTGGTCAAAAGAATAAGTCAAGGAAAGAACAAGCGCGAGTTTAAGTACTTTTTTTTTTTTGAGTAACTTCTCGAAACATGTTATTATCCTTATCACATTATTTTTATCACTTTCCAAATAAATATGAAATATAATTATACATTTTGTTCCTTCTTGATCATATGAGATGATTAATTCATCACGACATTTTAAACTTAAATTTATACTAAATTTTCACAAACACAAATGATTTAATGCGACGACGGCGTATTTTACCATCATCATCATTTTTTAAGTTGCAATAAAAATCAAAAGCGTTCCTAATGTTGATAACGTAAAATTTTCATTTTTTAAAAAAAGGGTAGCACTAATATGTTATTTTGTTCCATTTCCTCAGAACGGTCATCACACATAAAAATCTGAAATATGACATTTACAATTATTGCGGTACGACATAAAAATTCATGGAACTTAATTCGAAAATCGAGATTTTTTATGTTAATTTTAATCTCTATATATTCCTTTTCAACATATATTCTTTCTTAATGAGACGAATCTAACGAACTGTTTATCAAACTAAACTTTGTTTTATAAAAGTTGGACATTTAATTGTTTTAGAATATTATCAGAAAGTCGTTATATGAAATGTACCTACAAATAAATTCATTTGGGAGATTTGCCAGAAAATTAAACTTTCGAGAATATAATATTATAATCAGAAGCTTGGAAGGTTGAATGAATTTACTTTATCGCTTTTCCGGAAAATTTGGTCGCGGTATGTCAAGATCTCATCTTTTTCGAATACAAATGGATGCATCCGAATGGATTAATTTGTAAACTTATTCGTGCTAATCGTTAACATTACTGCATCAACTTGTTCCATTAAGGAGATAATTTCAGATGTTTGTGACCGTTCGAGGTGGAGCACGGGAATATATTCATTTGTTTTTTTTTTTTTGTGGGAATTTTTCTTAGATACTCATCTTAGTTGATTGATTTTATTAAAAAAGCATGTCAATTCAAAACTTCTATCCCAAAATAAATACTTGTATGACTCTTTTGAAATAATTCTTTCGGATTCTTCATAGCTATGGATTTTAGAATCGTTTTGCTTCCTGGGACATGAATAATTTTTGGTGAAACATTATGACGCGTGTCAGGTATTGTATTTTCGAACACGATTGTCATCTTGATGCGTAAGTCAATTCGTAAATTAAGGGTAAGGAGTAACTATCATAATATAATCTTGTCTTGTATGAGATTATCTCTTTTCTATTGTATGAGATTTGCAGGAGGATGAGAGGCCTAAACGAATAAGTAAATCTTGATAACTAAATGAATATGAAATTTGAAATCGACAATTTTCATGGGATCTTTAGGAATGGGTCCTAAGTTTCAAAAATTAAGATTCGCTTAAGTATAATATTTATTTGATACTTGATCATTAGAAAGTTGAATATAACGCCAGTAAATAAAAATCTTCTCTAGAACTGGCAAATTTATTAGGACTTTTAGGACCATTTAGGACCTTTTAGCATCCCTAGCTAGGACTATTCCTTCCTTCTACAACAACGATACTGAATTATTCAAATCATTGTTAACATTGCATTTTACTGACGTCGACAGTACCCTTCAAGATAATAAACGAAACTCGAAAATTTCATAAACCGAAAATATATATTAAAGATTCGAAATCGACTTTTGTCATTTACTAGTTCGATGTATTCTTCTTTCATGTGGCCTTTTTTTTTTACAAATGGACCTCGCGTTAGTTTCTAGAAATTTTTACTGTGCCATTATTACGTGATAATTCCTATGAATAAATTTCGTACATTTTATTGAGTAATTTGCCAAAATAAATATCTTATTACATTTTAGTCTAAATACAATTTAAATCTCAATTTTGATATAAATTCTCCGAACCTTATTTGTTCGATCACAACCCATATAATTCTTGGACTGTTTTAAATAATTTGTTAATTTGTGATGCAGTCAAAATCTTTACTCGTAATCAGCAATAAAGTAATTATCAATTAATTGGGTCAGAAAATGAGGTCTGGAATTTTTTAAAATTAACATCTTATTTGTTAAAAATTCTCAGAATTTCATTATCTTGGATCACAACCCATTTAATATAAATTTTGGTGAAAACCACCTGCACTAAAACTTTGATTAATTTATTTCATATAGCGATTATTCAAGATCCTTATAATAAACTAGTATTAAAAAAAAAATGAACGGGAATAGATTCGTTATTTCAAGTGAAATTAATTGTACAACATAAACAATTCAATTGTATTGAAAATCTGTATTGTTGTGTTTGTAAATCCTTACTAAATAACTTTCTTGAATTTCATTTTGATATTATTCGATTAATAAGGAAAATAGTTCTTTGAATAACAAAATAAAAAAAACAGATAATGATTTTGGCTTGTACAAAATGTCACAAATTGTTCGTATCTGAAGAAAATCAACAGATTTGTCAACAATGTATTAAAACACACGGGATATGTAAAGAATGTTTCAAAACGGGAATACCTTCTAAAGAAAATTCGGAGGTTTGTCAACAATGTATTAAAACATACAGGATTTGTCATGAATGCGACAAATGGGGAAAGCTTTCTGAAGGACATATAAAGGTTTGTCAACAGTGTATAAAAGTGTATAAAAAATATTGTAGTGAATGCAAAAAATGGGGAATACCTTCTGAAGAAAATTCAAAGGTTTGTCAACAATGTATAAGAATATATAAAAAATGTGATGAATGTTATAAGTGGAGAAGACCTTCTAAAAAAAATTCTCAAATTTGTAAACAATGTATTGGAACATTCAAGAAATGTGACACATGTCATGAATGGGAAAAATTTCAGGAAAATCGACAATTTTGTCAAAATTGTTATAAATTATATAATTCAAGTGGAAATAAAGATATTGATGAATTTATTATTTATACGCAAATTAATTGCAATCAAACTGTAAAAATGCAGTTCGCTCCTTACTATCAATTTAAAGATGTACAATTTATTGCTGAGGGCGGATTTAGTAAAATTTATAAAGCGATTTGGATTAATGATACAATTGATAACGATAAATTAAATTTTGGAGGAACTAAAACAGTGGCACTCAAAAAACTCAATAATTCTATAAATATAACTTCTAAGGAGTTAAATGAGGTACAATTTTATTTCATTTTGATTTTTATAATTATCTTAATCTACCAATATTAATAATTGCTAATAAAAGTATAGTTAAAAATATATTTTGACCTTAATCTAAATTGCGGATTATATAGTACTTTCCATATTAATGAGTACTATGGAATTACGCGTGATCCTTTTACGGGCGATTTAATGTTTATTATGAATTACTATGAATCAGGTGATTTGGGAAATTACATATCAAAAAATTTTTATGACATCGATTGGAATGCAAAGTTAGAAATATTAGATAATATTATCGGAGGACTTAATCATATTCATAGTCAAAAATTTATTCATAGAGATTTACATTGTGGTAATGTTCTTTATAGCAATCCTTCTAGCAAGCATCCGGCAGTAATTAGCGATTTAGGAATAAGTAAGTCTTCAACTGAATCAACAGATAGTGATATTATTTATGGAATTATTCCTTATATGGCTCCTGAGATATTTCTAGGACATAAATATTCTACAGCTACGGATATCTATAGTTTTGGTATGATTATGTGGGAGGTAATGATGGGCAGAAAGCCTTGTTGGGATCAAAATCATGATATAGATCTTATTCTTGAAATTGTTGACGGTTTTCGTCCTCCAATTCTCATAAATGCACCTGAGGATTATATTAAATTAATGCAAGATTGTTGGCATTCTGACCCAAGCAAAAGACCAACAGTCGCTATTTTGAAAAGAAAGTTAGATATTATAATAGATATTGAATGGAATAATTTAATAGATTTTAATAATGCAACAAAAATCATAGAATCATTGGATATTGGACCTATAACGACAAGAAATCAAAAGGCGATTTATAAGAGTAGAACTTTAAGTAAAATAAAATCTGCGATTTTGGCAAGAACTTTACGCATTTCGTCTATTAATTCAAATTCAGAATCTGGTAATTATAATACAATTCATTATTATTAATTAATTATTAATTTAATTTAATATCGATTATTATCGAAAAGGGTTCAATGATAAATTGATTTAACTTAACTCCTCCTCTTTTTAATATTATAATTAATTTTTTTTAAAAAAAAATAGGAAATTTAGAAGACGATAACAAAAGTATTAAAGATAAAAATAGTGGTAAATAAAAAGTTCATGTTTATAATTAAACAAAATACTAAATTTATCAACTAACTTTATTGAAATATAAATATTTAGGTTATGTAACAAAGGAAGAAGAACTGGATATTAATGAAAGTGGTAAATAAACATTTATATGATATAGACGTATTTTTTTATTATAAACTAATATTATGTTTTTTTTATATGTGTTTTTAGAATATATTACCAAAAAACTTGATTTTGATATTGAATAGCTTTTTTTCAGTTGAACAAAATTTATTTCATTTATTTTTTTTTAAATTTGATAAATTGAAGCCTTTAATTATAACATTATTTCTTATCCAATTTGATCAAGACTAAACACTCATATTTTTTTAAGTTTATATTTCATGGTAATTTGAAATTTTATTTATTTAATGATTATTAACTAAAAATTGCGAGTAGCAGGAGACTTCGTCCCCACCCTATTATTATCTACTCCATTTATTGCAACGCGGTTTACAAGAATCATTTAGTTATAATAAGAATGTGCAGATGAATTGTAAAATATATTCGGGAGCTTTAACATAACCGACCCGAGCGATAATAGTTTAACTATGGATCGAATTGGCAAAAATCTTTAAAACAATTAATCGGCTGATTTTCAATTCAAGTTTAAATCAATACGATATTAATATTTTTATCAATTTTTTAAGCTGGAAATTTTATAAAACAAATTTGAAGGAACATTAAATTCTAATTAGCCAAGTTAATCAAATATTTTTATTTCACAAGCAAAACCATTATTTATAAAATTTACGTCATTATACAATTTAACTATTATTAGTTGATATTTACAAAGTTAAGAG